AACTTAATTCAACTTTTCACAATTCCCCCTTGTAAAAAGTTTCTCTCCAGCTTTCTTGCAAGCCCCCTTCAGGTTCTGGATAACAGCAATGATGTCTCCCTGGAGTCTCCTCTTCCCTAGGTTGAACAACCTCAGCTCTCTCATCCCGTCATCACGGAAGAGGTGTTTCATCTTTGTGATCAGTTTAGTGGCCATCCTCTGAATTTGCTCCAACATGACCACATATTTCTTGCATTGTAGACTCCAGATCTGGACAGAGTACTCCAGATGGGATCTCATGAGAACAGTAAATGCAGAGAATCACATCCTTTGATCTGTTGGTCAGACTTCTTGATGAAGCCCAGGATGTGGCTGGCACTCTGTTTTGCTAGCAGGTGTTCTGCCATGTTAAGCTTTTTGACCACAAACATGCCCAAGTATTTTTCTCCTGGGCTAGATACATACTCTGCCCTGTCTGTGCTTGTGCTGGGAATTGCCCTGAACCAGGTGTAGGACCTTGCACTCAGCCTTGCTGAACTCCCTGAGGTTTGCATGGTCCCACCTCTCAAGCCAGTCCAGGTCCCTGGGGATGCCATCCCTTCCCTCCTGTGTCGACTGCCCCACCCAGCTCAGTGTCATCAGCAAACTTGCTGAGGGTGCCCTTGATCCCACTGTCCACATCACTGACAAATGACAGCAGTCCTTCTCTCCACAACACTATTAGATGCAACCCTACCACAATTTCTTTTTCTTCTGAGCAGACCATCTCTCAAATCCATGTCTCATCAGTTTACAGACAAAAAATTTTCTTCTGTAATGTTTTGTCTCCAACAGTGAGCACAGAATTGTAGCCAGAGGGATTAGCAGAAGAATGGAGAAATTTTATATTTCCTTAAAAGTACACTTCCACAGTCCAGCACTAAGAAACGCAAGTACTTCTTGGGCCAAAACTGTGTGCCCAGTATTAAGCATGCTCAGTGGACAAGCTCATATGACTGTCTGAATCCTTCATAATTGACATCCTTCATAACAAAATAGATGACAAGTTTGAGGAAAATCTAATACAAGTAAATCTTAAAACCAAGCCTAATGGCCATCACATGGGTGCTGAGGACAAGTCTGCTCTTATGTCCAGTCCTGTGTGTCACAGTTTTCAGTAATGGCTGTGTTTGCAAGGTTCTACCTAAGGGTTTTCATTTGATTTTCTTCACAAATGAATTTTCATCCTTAGTTGGCATACATAGGACGTGTTGTTAGAAACCACATGCTGTACTGCACTTCATCTGCAATGAGGCAAAACTGTGTCAGGCCTCTGACAAAATTCCAAGGAAAATGTTAGGGGAAAAAAAGAGTGGAAGAAACAAAAGATTTCTGCAGGTGACTTAAACTCTGTCGCTCTCACTTTCTGACTGTTGATAGAATTGGCTTCAAATTCTACATCTGTGAATGTAATCAGGTTTAAGTTTGTTATGACTTTGACGTGGAGAACGGTTAAGAAGCTAGACCATTCAGGGGAGCAAAGGGCCAACCAGAGCTCCTGTATAAATGATTTCCTCAGTCTTCTGGCCTAGGCATTCATCTGCAACTTGATGGTGGCTTTCAGTGTGAACACAGGCTGAACCTTGCTGCAGGATTTTGTGTTAAAGCACTTTAACTATTCTGACACTGTGCCTTCCCACTGCATCTCCTAATTACCATAGAAATGTAACAATTATGGCTATCAGCAAGACTTTTCTCTCACAGTATATCGTTCACTTAATAACATTTAAGAAGCAATCAGTTAAATAAATAAATGGATTAAATCTTATCTGTCTCTGTCAGGCAAAGGATACAGTACTCATTTAACATGATAAACAGAGCCATATCTCTTCTTCCAAAGCTGGAATTTTATAGCTTAAGTTATATTTAAGTGAGCACAAACTGTGTGCTAAATCAGTAGCACTCAGTAAGTTGAATTGGCTGACCATAAGGAAGAGACGGATCTTTTTTTGACAAGATTGCTGATATCTCTGTCCTATTTCATCACTGAAGCAAGATTCAGTCACAGACCAGTGTAGGTCATGTATTGGCTACCAATTAATAATAGCAATGAAGATAGCAGTAGTAGTAGTAGTAGTAGTAGTAGTAGTAGTAGTAGTAGTAGTAATAGTAGTCATAGTAATAACAATAGTAACAACAATAATAATTCTAATGACATCTATCCTTTCCTCAGATGAACCATGGAAAAGAAAGGACATAGTATAGAAGAAAGGACATATCTTGGACATAGTTGTTAAAGTTATGAAGTTATCCTCAATGCATACTTTTGAGCCTAATTAGTACATTTACTAGTAAGTGTATGTGCAGTTTCAGGGGAGACAAAGGTAAGAAATCACAGGCTCTCTGTGCAATGTTCTACATGGAACCAGAAATGAGAGTGTTCAGTTTGTGATTTTGACCATGTATTGCACAAATCAGTACTATAATTTCCCTCAGTGTGCTATTTATGCATCTTGCTGTTACATGTAATAGAGGAAGAAAACATAGGAAATGACCATCACTGGACAAGAAATACCCTGCACAGAGCAGTACAAGAGTGATGCACATTTTTGAAAACATGTGCAAGTGAAGTTTAGAGTATTTCTAATGCTGGAAAGTATAAAACTTATCTGGGCATCATGTAAACAGTGGAGAAAAAGTATCAGTTTTTCATTCCACTCACTGAATCACCCAGAAATGTGCACTCACAGCCCACAAAGCCAATGGGATCCTGGGCTGCATCCAGGGCAGTGTAGCCAGCAGGTTGAGAGAGTGGATTCTGCTCCTTTGCTCTGCTCTGTTGAAACCTCACCTGGAACACTATGTCCAGCAATAGGGTTTGCAACATCAAAAGGACATGGAATTGATGGAGCCAGTCCAGAGGAAGCCACAAAGCTGGTAAGAGCAGCTCTTCCCCTACAAAGACAGGCTGAGAAGGTTGGGGCTGTTCAGCCTGGAGAAGAGAAGGTTGTGTGGAGACCTCATGGCAATCCGCCAGTATCTGAAGGGGAACTACAGGGAAGCTGGAGAGGGACTCTTTGACACGAACTACAGTGATAGGGCAAGGAACATTGGGTACAAACTGAAAGACAGTACAATTTGGTTAGATGTATGGAAGAAATTCTTTACTATGAGTGTGGTGGAACAAATTGCCCAGGGAGGCTGTGTTTTGCCCCAGCAGTGTAAGAGTTCAATGCCAGACTGGGTAAAGCCTTGAGTATCCTGGTCTAGTGGGAGTGTCCCTGCCCATGTCAGGGGTGGTTGGGGTTAGACAATCTTTACAGTCCAATCCAACCCTTAACATTCTATGATCCTATTCTGCATTAAAAAAAATAGCATACAGTGACACCACTAAAGGTCCTGGTGAGGAATTTCAGAGGTGGAAACTCTTTTCATTTGTACTGTAGTAACTCAGAAATCAGTTCTCCCTTAACAGTTGTTTGAGGTTTAGTCATGGTTTATTTATTTTGCCTTTCATAGGAGCATATTTTTATAAACTGTTGCAGTAGACAAAGGATATATAACTTTTTTTCTCTGGGATTAACAAGAGAAAATATGTAAATCAAGTATGAGACTCAATGTTAGAAACTGTCCTGCACTGTTAGAGATGCTTTGGTAGAAAATTCTAAGCTTATTCCAAGAAACTTCCATATAGTTAAGCATGAGATTCAAAAAGTTTGGGAGGTAAGGGTAACTATGAACCATAATTTATAGACTGAAAGCAAATTGATTTTTCATATTCTATTTTTTGCTAACAGTGCCATGGCAAACAACTTTGCTTCTGTTACTTGAAGTTGCACTGAAATTGTTTCACGCAAGGATCTTTTCCTGAAAAATACCATCAGAATTGACACATTGACTAGCTGGAGAAGGTGTTTGTTACATGTTACACTTTTCTTTCTCCAATTTAATAGGAAATTAGGAAGATTAATTTGGTTCCACTATCTACCTTAAGGGAGTAAGTAATAACACTTGATGCTTCAAAAGAGGGGTTGTTTTCATGCATTAGTTTCAAGACCACTCCTTGAAGCAGTTACTGTTTGTTTGAATAGAGACAACCAGTTTCAGGATAGGCATCAGCTACGAAGTCGTGCTCCTACTTCTAAAGCTTGCCAACCTTTGGTGAACTTCATATCTTGAAATTTCTTGAATAAAGTCTTATACCAAATGTAACTATTTTTCCATATCGAAAGTTTACTTAAAAAATATTAGTACATTCTCTTCTTCCTAAACCCCTTCAATTTTTCATCAAACATGCTTCCTCTAAATTCATTGCTTTATTCAACTGTATAAAACTAGGTGAATACAAATACACGAAGAATCTGAAGCATTCGGTTGTTATTAGTGCGGAGATAGTGGCCTCACACATACAAAATATTAAAAGTACTTAGAAATGTTCAAGTGATTTTTGTTTGGGGGCTATACATGAAATCACAGGCGGTAATGCAACAGATCTTTTTCTCTTTTATTTTTATTGTGCAGTACAATTTCAGGTTAATAAAACAAACAAAGACAATACTTTTATTCTCTAATCCCCACATTTTATTATTTTTATTTAAATATAACATACTATACATTGTTGCTCAGTGATTTTGGTATCCCTTTTGTTTTCTAAACCCCTCCCCCTGTTTTCCTTTTACTCAGGAGACTGTTATGCTCAGGGTGACAGAAAACAGAGCTTATGGTTGAGGATCTGGGATACTCTAATATCTGCAGTTTGCTCCCACTATAGTGGGCGTTACAGTATACCAAACACACAGGAATCATTGATTCCTTCAAGGGTTTTTTATTTTGGTTAATTTTCAGAAACCACTCTTCATGTCACAAATGGCTCCTGGCTCACTTTGGGAAAGTGATATTTCCTGATCTTGTCGTTTGAGCAGCATGGTGTTTTGAGTACTATGATAATATTTATGCATAATCCTCCCCTGACCAAGTCATCTAGGTAATTCTGTAAGAAGAGAATTTCATTTGTACCCTAAATGTTCTTTAAGTCGTCATTCAATACTGCATTCATCCAAACTCATACTGAAGGTTCAGTACGGGTGGTCCATTATGTCTTGTCAGTTTTAATTACTGATTACAAATTTGAACAACAGAAACTCGCTTTTATCGTGGTAGTTAAGTTTCGCTGTGATCTGCAATTACATTTAAAATCTGAAATTCTTATTTCTCTTTCTAGAAAAATGTCATTTGTGAAGAAGAAAACTGGAGATAAAGTACCATGAAATACAACATCAGCTATCAACTAAAAATATATTGTCTTTCAATGAATTCCTAGTTTTAAAACAGCTGACATTATTTAAGGACAGGAAATATAATCTGACCATTTTGTATTTTATGGGAAAGCTTTTTTTTTTGTTTTTGTTTTTTTTTTTTTAAAAGAGCTAGTATTTAAATAACAGAGTAAGATTGAAGTGCTGGTTAAACATTGACTTAAATAAGTTATAGAAGATTCCAACAACACCAGCCTTTATAGAGGTTAAACATTCTCAAAAAGACACATTAAGCAAGGCTCTCCTTTGTACCAAAATACAGTCTCCAAACAATAAAAATAAAACCAACTTTTTCACAACGAGAAATATTGAAGATAAACTGCAGCATCAATATAATCTTATAGTTATCAGTTAAAGTATTTAAAACAAAATAATATTATACTACTTTTGTTTCTTACTAAAGACACTGCAAAGGCTTATTTATTTATTTAGTGGAATACAATGTGAAGACAGTGGTACAAATTGTTTGATGTACTGTTTTCTATTTATCTGCTCTAACAAAATGAATGTCAATATGGTTACACAGGTGAGCTATCCAGAGCTCTCTAAAATTACTGAGTAAAGCAAAATATAAAACAAACCTTATGTACCTTTAATTGAACAGACTTCATATTATGCTCAACTTTATTATACTGCAGTTGCTCAAGTTAAGCCACGGGATGAATAACACTTCATAAAAATGTGCTGGATATTATGTATTTTGAGCCTTCAGTTACTGTGATGGTTATGAAAGGCATGCTAAAGCTGGAAACCAGCACAGCTTTTTGGTTGGCTCTCATATATAATATACACGTGAGTAATAATCTCTGAAAAACACATGAGCATGATTTTGGATCTCCTGTCTTGCAGCCCTTAGTTAGGTATCACTCCCACTATATGCCTGTGATTCTTCAGGTTGGTACCAAAGGCAAATGGGTTGAATGAGAGTATCAAATGAATAAGGTGTGCAGGACTGTATTGCCTTCTTGCTTTCCTTTCAGCGGCCAAACGTTACACTTAGGAATTACACACTACTGTTTTATTTTTACACTTGCAGTCTCAGTGATTTTAACAGGGCTGACCACATCAGGTTCCAGCCCAGCGTGTGCTGCAAAATATCGCACTGATAGCAGTGTGTTAGATCCCAGCTCCAAACTGAAATCAAAGTCAGATGAATATAAACACAGATGCATTGACACCCAAGTACAGATGTGGCCCCTTCTCTCAATTTCAAAATAGCAGAAAGACCCTTTGAACAAAGTATTTCTTGAAGGTTTTTCTTGAGTGCTGATAAGTACAAAAATTTCTCCAATATAAAGACACCCAATACCATAAATCCAAGCACTGCTTGTTTGGTCTTATGCTTAAGTGCAAGACAGTTTAGGAAAAAAATGGAGTATACACTCTAAATTCTGCCTTTAAAGCCTTGTCTAATACCTATTCTCTGAGTACTTTTGAGGTTCTGACATTTTACTCTATCAAACTCTCTCTGAAGTACTAAGAAAAAGGGAAAATAAGAAAGAAGCAAATGAAGAAACATTTCAAATAAAAAAGATATTTAACATCCTATTAAATAAATAACTTAGAGAGAAATAAAAAGAAATGAATTTAGGACATACAAGCAAACCATACTATTCATTTTGTTAGAACAGTTATACACTACTTTGCTTATCCTATCCATTCGTCCACAAGGCTTCTCCAGAAATGTCATTATTTGTGCATATGACCCAAGTGCTTCCAGTAAATGCTTGTGTGTCTAACTGTTCATTGAATCATTAGGCTTGAATGAGCAATTAAGGACTTTGATATGAGTTAGTATTCCATAAATAGCATTCCCCATGAAGATCACGCAACAGATTGTCTTATGTCCATCAAGGTCTGTTGCAGTGAAAAAAAAAAAAAAAAAAAAAAAAGTTCACACTGGCAATAAATTCCATCCCCTTTGATCCAGCTTCATTTTGATTATAAGATATGACAACGAACTAAATAAAGGTATTTCATGTGCCAGCAATAAGTACAAAACCTTCAAAGGCTTCCCCTGCTCTCATTTCAAACATGCAGATGTCTGTGCTACTTCTCCGCATCTACCTTTTAAGAGAATTACCAAATATTCTTGACATAACAGCCTTTGGTTCAACCACATCAAAAAATTAGTTTGTTCATCTATGACATGACTACCATAGGAAGAAAGTGAGCTGAAGTGTTTTTCCTTCTTGTTTTCTGTCCTCTCTTTGTGGTTCCCCTCCCATTCAGGGCCACAAACATTTGCCTTCCATTGTGCTTCCAATTTAAGGACGCGTATGTGTTATATCCATTTTCTTCTATTCTTTCCTTCAATTTGCAATCGCTATTAAACTCCTTCTGTTAAAAGAAGAAAAAACCCACAAATTCAGAACAAGCATAATATTTCAGCATACTGAAGGAAAATACTTTAAAAAAATGTTTTCAAAGACTGTAGTCTTTTGTATGTGAGACTCTTTTAGGATTCTGCACTGTATTTACACAAAAGTATCACTGTGTCCACAGCATATAAAGCAGCATCAGTTAGACTACAAAAAAGTGAAATTAACAAAAGATATAATTATCCAATACATAGATGTAGCAGTTGAATAATATAATTCATTCAGAATTGAAATTAAAATTCCCTGTGTTGAAATATGGCAAGAATATTAAATCAAATTCTCAGTCATAAACTCAAAAGTATGAGGAAGCATTAACGGAATCATTAATCACATTTAAGTTCTAACAAATATAACTCTTAAATATCTTGAATGAGATTATTGATACCATACATTAAACAAATACTATTTCTTATAGGTCTGTTTCTTATTTAAAGTAAGAATCTTTAGACCACACTGGCAATGAAAAAGGGCTTTTTTGGGATAGGTGCAAATCACTGTTATGCTACTATCACAATTGATGTGATACCTATTTACTTGGATGACCTGGAAAGAGGCTTAGCCTAAAAAAGAATCATGTATGATCCCATACCTTATTGACTAAACAAAGCTGGAAGTAATTTTATTTATGGGACCAGGGATTAAGGTTTTCTGTTTTTAAAGGAGAACAAGTCATCTGGCTGTTAGAAGGAATCAAAAATACGAGCCTGTGTAAGCATGTAAGGAGACACTACTTTTTTCTTATACTGTTAAATATAATTTTACATTGATACACTTTTCTGTACTGAAGCCAAGAATAAATCTTTTCATAAACAAGTAATTCCTACATATAACCCTATCCAATTTGAACAAACTACTTATATTATATTTGGAAGGCTTTTAAAAGCAGGGTGTTGGAAATATAATTAATTTAAAATGAATAATCATGATTTTGTTGTTTCTGCATTTCAGAAGATAAGATGTAATTTCACAGCTCAGGGAGAAACAGGTCAGAATCTCAGAGTTTCATAGAATAACTGCATGCACTATTTTCAATAGGATCATGAACAGGACAAGAAATAAGTCTGAATAGTAAATCAAGGTTCATGTTAATAAAATCAAGTTAAAATATATTTTACATACCTATTAATTTAAATTAGAATTTCTAAACTAGTTAATGTTAAGTACTTTGATACAGTGAGAATTCTGTGCGTGCAGTTTATGTATCCCTTAGTGGCTTCTATGACCATGGAAGACCTGCTTGATGGAATTCATACATTCAAATTCTATTTGGCTCCCAAAGTACTCTTTAACTCTAGGACTGGTAGTTATTTGAACAATGATCAGTGAGGAAGACACTATCAAGACAAGACTTTACAAGACCACTCTAGACATTGCCTACACTCACAAAGATACCACATAGATAATTTAGCATTATTTTGTATAATACGTCACCTCTGGTGTCAAGGTATTAAAAAGGCAGATGCTCATCAATCACAGTTCTAAACCACAGTAACTTCTATCTGCCAATTTGTCAAAAAAGCTTAAAGAAACTCATTTTGTTAAAGAAACCTAATAGTGAGTCTTCTTTCCCCCTCATTTTACCAAAATCAGTCAAATGGAAAACTATTTGATTAACACAGAAGGAGCTTTGATTGTTTTCCTAGATGCAGAATTGTACTGAAATCAAACTTTTACTTCTATTTGTAGATAACAGAGAAAAGATGATGTTGTGATGTGCTTAAAAAGTCTTACTGGCAGGGGTCTGAATGCTACACAAGACTGCTTTGCTCATTTCAAATAAATTTCAGCATAAGCCTGCACCAATGTCTATTGTGCATGTGCTCAAGGGTGTTTTTACAATTTTTATTGGTTCTGGTATTCATATCCATCTGCAAGCTGCCACGCTGTAGTAATATGAAGCTAACTGCAAATCCTGGGATTATGGCAAAAATAATGACAGAAGCATTCTTGAAATCGCTAAAGTATTATGGAATAGGTTTTGATAAATCATTATACTGTGATTTTATGATGTGAATATTGAAAAATTATCTCAGCTGGAATTAAAAAAAAAGGTTTCCCACATTCGTATCTTCCTGTCAACGCTATTTCTAATACACTATGAATAACTGAATCTTATGGCAGCAATTTCCATCTATGGTACATGAAAGCTGTCTCAATGTCTTTTGTGCATATATAGTGTTGGAATAGACTCTAAATAGACTCTCACCACACCAGGGAAGGCTAACAACTGTGGTAAGAAAGCCTGTCTTGGGCTTTGGGATGGGCCATCACATATTACTGAAGTGTGCAACTAGAAGTCTGAATGGAAGATGAAGACTGATGCTAAAACCTTCACCTATGATTCACTGAAGCAAACCCATAATCAATGACTGTACTGAATAACTCAGTACACAGTTATCTTCTCAATAAGCACTGATCATCCTGTATTTCTGACCAGTATAAATCTAAACATTAAATCTACATTTACAGGAATACAAGAAAAATTTCTTTGTTCTGGTCTTTTCTTAATGTGATTCTTTGACACGGTCACAGCATTTAGAAATTCAGAAGTCTGCTGTTGAACCATAAGTGACTAACCACAGTGGAGGTGAGGGAGGACAGTTTATATAGCTTGTATGAACAAAATACACTCTGTTTCCTTAAAACAGAAGGACAAATGACTAGAGGCCCTTTGAGTCTCACTTGAGATTGGCATTGCTTCACTGTTCTCAGCAGAAAAAGGAGGCTTAGCTGCATTGCTCAATGATAAACTCAGTCCCTATACGTGACCCCATTTTTATAAACCATATGGATGATCTGAACATTAAGCAACCTGCAATTTTGCTCATAACCTTTCCAGGAACTGGAACAACATTGCAAAATTGCAAACCAAACCAGATGTAATACCAGAACAATCTGGTGCTTGTGTCATCATGGCGATGTGTTATGGTATATTTGAGTTTAGTTAGGTTTACAGATCATATTGCCTTCTATTAAAAATATTTGGATAATTTCTGAGTTTTCTTGGTTTGTTTTTGTTTGGTTCATTATTTTGTTGTTTGGATTTTTTTTTCCCCTGAAAGTCTCAGTACCCCCAAATTTATTACAAATTAATTAATACAAATTAAGTATATGTGGGCAACTTTCAAGTGTTACCTGAATTCTGCTCAGACAAATCTTATCTGCTGATATTTAAGTTCATGTCTCTCTGTAGTGTCCATAATCTTTTTCATTAATAAAAGTAGTCAATTTAAAGTCTGCTACCATAGGAATCTTCTTCAAAGTTTTAATTTAATGATTTGGTGTGTTTACTCCATCAGCTCAAGTTTCCATGATCTCAGGCACACTTTATCCCTTTCTCCCCCAGCCTCAAATTGCTGCTAAGTGTGATTGCACTGTTGAAAGAACAGGGAAAGCAAGCCTTAAAGATTACATTTTGTGAGACCCATTTTACTGAGCACTCCTTAGTAAGCAGTGAGACTGAGGCAGTAGGCACGATAAATCCCAGCAGCTATGTTGGTACGACATGAGCTTAGGAAACAACAGGAAGCTTCTGGAGAGGGGTGATCCTGGTTTATCAGAGGATGAAATTCTGATGAACAGCTCATTTCAGTTCTAATTAGCAGCAATACACAGACAAGCAGTGTTTTCAATAGGCAAGACAGGGAACTGTGCTGACTCCTGAAATCCATTTGGAATGTAAAAAAGGTACTTACAGAGCCGTAGACTTTTCCTTTTTTGTTCATGGCTAAATAGTAGTTGCTCTTAATAGACTTAACCGCCACAACTCCAATTTCTACAGATGTTATCTCCAATATGCCTAAAAAATAAAAATTGAGCTGTTTAAACACTTTTACAGGATTTTATCACCGTAGAAAAGGCAATAAACCTGAAAAATACTAAACTTGTAATATTTATGACCAACTGACAAAAATAAATTAACAGAAGTATTCTTTAAACCACTGCAAGAATCTAAACAAACTTTTTGTCAATTAACATATATCCTAACCCTGCATTTTAAAGCCCATAGATACTGAAACAACACCATTCTTCTTAGCATAGATTTTACAAAAATTTATCAGAAAAGACATTGAAACCACAGCATCAAATTAAATATATACCATATGTCAATAGAATATTGGATTTTCCCCAATCTTTAAAACCCTTGGTAAATAATTTATTCCTTGTAGAACATTTAGATAAACTAAATCTCTTGGTTGCACTGAGCTGATAAATTCACTCTTGGCAACTGTGTTGACAATGTGGGAAAGACCAGCACTAATGGCCACACTATCTTTGTCTTCCAGATATCAGAAACATTTTGCTCTGTTTGTGATAAATATGATTTCTGACCCTCCCTTACAAACAGACTCTTTCTGGGACACTGGATGGCTCAAGGGACCTGTAATGGGAGATAACACCTTTTCATCCCTGTTTTCTGCCCAGAAGCATACTGATATGGGAGTGGGAGATGGAATGCCTGACTCCAACATTTCTCCTCCTGACATTTATGTAGCAATAGCTGGATCAATAGCCTGACTAAATGTGGTTCACTAAGGGTGCACCAACAGAGAAATTACAGGAGGGGCAAAACTGTCCTCCTTGATTAGGTTGTGATAGTTTACATACAACAGGGCCACGCCATTGATAGAGGCAGATCAGGGAGTCCATATTTGCAGGGCTCTAATCTGTATTATTCTTAAAATGTTGCTCATTTTCACACCAAAGAAAAGCCAAAGTTGCTTTCTTGATCTTCTGAGAAAGCATTGTTACAGAGGACTGAGCAGCTCTCCCATGGGACATGTGCTAAAGTAATTGTGCTCAAAATCAGAGTAAAGTGAACTAACTTGTGGATGGCAAACTATTAGAGGGCAAGAATGTGATGCAACCACTGCTACTACACCATGAATGACAGTTTTTTTTGTATTTTCTATGCCAAAAAGTGATGAGAAGAATTTAGCTAATTCTTTCTACAGAATTGTATTCTGAACTGTGTCTGGATCCATTTCTAACACCAGTAACAAGACAAAAAACCAAACCAAAACACAAACAAATAAGCAAGAGAAATACTGGCATAACATGTGCCATTATAAATTTATATGTTGAAAGGGATTAAACGGATTTAGATTTAGCCATAAACAATTGTAACAATAACATCATATTAGGCTATTTCAATTAACTATTTCACTAAGAGCTGAAAGACAACAGTGCCTAAATAAGACACTTGTACAGAATTGACCCATTTTAAGTGTCTTGCACTAGAATGATGGACATCCCTGCTTTTCAGTAAAACACTTAAATAAAAGCAACACACGTAATTCCTATAATTAATGAAAATATAGTCTGGTTTTTCTAGTAAAGTTTGTTTGCAATTTCACACTCCATTATATTCCTAGTGGAGCAGCTGTATGGAGGTCAATAAAGAGAAATGTTACTACATTTACATTATACCCACAACAACTAGCTTGATTATAGCTGATGAAGCTATTTGGTTTTAGCTAAATATAGCAGAATTGTTCCAAATTATTACTAGGTTGACAATATGATCACTAGTGATCCTGGATATGTTCTTACTGTGTACATTCTGTGCACTTGAAAATTGAAAAAGGTGTAATTTTCGTTGACAATTTTTCATATTCTATCCTCTGCAGAATTTCTTTTGGGAAAAATGGAAATTTTAATGAATGTTTTTCTTTCAAATGAATTTTATCTTTATCTGTTAACTCTTGGTAATAGGGACCTAATTTGATACTTTGCTACTCTCTATAGTCCCCCAAGAGCTATCTGCTAATTGCAAGCACAGTTACAATCTAGATTTTGTCTAGATTGCAAATTATTTGCCGTTATTTACAGATTTTCCCAGGAGAAGAATCCCAAATTTGATGGAAATCGTTTGAAGGTAAGAGGAATCTTTCATTGTTTTAAGTGGTGTAGACAAAGTTCAAAGATCAGCAGGACAGCATCTACTCATCTGACATGAATCTGCAAGAAGGCCTAAGAACTTTCTAGAACTTTGAAATAATTAATTTGAATAAAAATAAGTAAAACACATTTGATGTAAGGGTGAAAATATGCATTTGATTATTCTTAAAGATTTATTAAATTCAGCAGGAATATATTAAAAAAGGAAATTGAGACATACAGTATGAAGCTTAAAACTACAGTGTTTTCCCTTTTCCTCTAAATTTTTTTCAGCTTCTTAGTCTATTCCCAAGAATGTTAACTGTTTGTTGGAGCTCTTTTTTCTTTTCTTTATGACTGAAACGAAAAAGGCATTTCAACATAATTCCTTGCATGTTTCTTGTATCTGATTTTATACCATTGCTTGGGCTTATGTATTTTGATGCCTGAAGACATAGCTCCAAGAAGACGTGTAAGGTAAATAATTTCCATGGATTTGTAATTATTCTTGATTATAAGCAGTGCAAAAAAATAATTTTATTGGGGTAAAAGTCTTAGGAGCTATTTATTCTGGTTTCATGCTACTTAGGAACCTGGAAATGAAAATAAATTAATTTTAAAAAAAATCAAAATGCTCTGGCCTCTGTTATGGTTTTAAACTAGATAGCACACTATTATTGTACAGCCATACCTCTGTAAAACCCAGTGATTACAACTAATCCCCATTGACCACATCCACTGAAAAAGCATAGCTTTCAATACCCAAACCATTTCCAATTCATTATAATTAGAAAGATTTCAAATATCAACTTGAGATGTGCCCTGTAGCTATGCATGTGCTCTCTTTACAGGTCCCAAAGGCTTTAACCATATTCCAGATAGAACACAAATGTATTTACCTTAAATAAACTGTATTTTTATAGTTTATAAAAGTGATCATTATACGTATTGCAACAGAAACCTGTTTGTCTTCTTACCCTTTACACAGAGGGTCTCTAAAACCTACAAGTGAAAATTGTGCTTCCTTGGTTAGCTATGTTAATTAAAAATGTCCTATGTTTTATAAAAATGCTAATTACATGAAGCAAAAAAATTACAAAATATCCTAGAAACTGGATGAAATTATGTCAAGCAATTCTCAGGAAAGATAATTTGACAGAATATCAGATATCAGATATATTGTCAAGGCAGAAGCACAGTGGATGCAGACAGTCTGCAACAAGAAACCCTTGATTCTGGGACCAAGTTCAGTTTCTTTGAAGTGTGAGGCAGTGGTCATTTTTCTGTATTTGCATCATTTGTGTAAGGAGTTCTTATAAATACATTTAAAACATCTCCAATACTAGTTGCAGTCCTCTCCATGCAGGAGAACAGGACTACCATGCATCCTCCTACACCTTTCAGAGATTGTCTCGTATATGTAGCAATCTACAAACACTCCTGCCCCCTCTGAGTTTTCTTCCGTTTGAAAAAATATTGTAGATGAAGAGTGAGTTCAGCTGGAGAGAATGTGATGGTGACTGAGAGCTTGTGAAATCTTTTGGTTTCCCAAATGGTGACAAGAAGGGCCCATGAAGGAAGCTGCAGCTCTTGGTTGGTAACTGGAGAAGAAAGGGCTTTGTGCAACTGCAGCTGAGACTAAACTGACTTTTCACAGCTTTAGTGCCCTACAGGGAATTTCTGTGAAGCTGGCTTGAGCCAAAACAAGCTGGTGTTCAGGTGTAATGTTGAAGACATGGTAGTTAAAAAAGCTGTTCTTAGTAGCTGTCTTGAAAAAATGTGGTTTGAAGCAAATAGATTTCCTGGATGTAGTTGTGGAATAGTGAAGTGCAAAGGTATATGAGGCCACTGCCTCTGTTTCCACTGTGTTTCATCAATTACACCTGTACAAAGCCAGTTGAAAATATCCCCAAATGACAAGTTATACTGGTATTTCTATATTTACCTGTATTTAGCGATAACAAAAAAGGAAGATGATGGATTAATAGATAAAAGAAAACATAGGAAACTGAAGATGGGAACCAAGTCTTGCCTTTGAAAACTTTTTCAATTAGCCAAAGTAGTTCCACTGAAAGGCAATCTTACAGACTTTGTGCTTGACTTTGAAAGGGAGCTTAAGATACAAATCACACAATCAACCCATAGTGCTGCTGCTATGGGCAGAAATCTCAAACAATTAACAACCTGAACCATAATGTAAGCTTTGACTTAAAAATAAGTTTATTTATAGTTAAACCAGTTCTTTGTTTTATATTAACACTTGATATTTTTGAGACTGCCATTGTCCCTACTCTAAATCAGAAGTTAATAGACTGAAAGATCACAAAACAACCTGCTAATGTGTCAAATTTAGATCAACTATAGCCAAAATATTATTGCCCCATTAACTTTTCTGTCCAGTGCCCATACCTAATACATTTGGACAAGCCTGAGATATGTATCCAAACTTCTGGAAAGTTATTGTAACAAAATATCTACCTTCCTATATCAGCATAGTACCAGTATAAGAAGTGACATCTCCACAGTGCATAAAAATCAGTTAAAAGACTAATTATTAAAGCCTATTCTCAGATCCACACAGTCTGCTCCAACTTCCTTTTCTTCTTCTACTGCTTTTATGGCTTTCATTTTGGAGCAGAGCACAGATGTCTCAATTGATTGTTCTCTGTAGACCAAACAAATTGAAGAGTGGCACCTGGGATGAGAGAACCTCTTAGTGACCAATAGTGAGAGCTGTTGGTTAGCAAAGAAGGAGTTTAGGTTTAGCTACAAAATTGGCAGGAATCAATTTAGCTAGGATACCTCCTGACATGTAACAGAAACAATTAATTCAGGATCATAGTTAGCCTACATTTTCCCTCTGGTCAGTGAAGACAGGCAACTTCAAAGGACAGTTCTAAATACCACTATTCCCCCTAC